ACCGAATGGAAGTTCGGTGAGTCAATCGCACCGGGTGCGGCCAACCAGGGAGGCGTATGGCAACGACTCGTGCGACCAATCAAAGCAGCACTCGTCCTTTGACTCACGTGCCAGTCAGCGTTGATGAACAGGAAGCCCTAACTCCCAACCACTTCCTCATGTTGGGACCATCAAGTTTACCCATCACCGTGACGTGTTCATCGGCGGATCGTCGAGCCTGAAGCACATGAGGCAGCACAGGGACTGGCCGATGAATATTGGAGGCACTGGGTGCGGGAGTACCTACCAACATTGGTCCCGTGAGGAGAATCACGAAACGCCCAGCAGACAGAAGTCAAAGAAGACGACTTCGTGGTTATCGTAGGAACGTATGGCCGCAAGGAATAGTCACCAGGACATTTCCCGAACACGACGGTGTGCTGCGGAACGTGGAGATCAGGACAAGAGGCGGAATCCTAAGAAGACCGGTGAGGAAGATCGCCGTCCTCCCGAAGGAAGAAAAGGCACGTGGACTATGCCGGGGGGAGGATGTTACGGATGGCTAAGGGAGCCGCCGCCGCATCGCCCCCTCATACCCTGTTACGCCCCGCTCACCCCGCACACCGCTCGGATATCACGTGATGCCTACAGCCAACGAGCGCGCAGCAATACCGCGCGGGTACACAGCAACGATGAAACCCCCGCCGCGCAAATAAAAGAAGGGCATCCGGCCACACCGAGTATTCGATTCGAAAGCGGCGAAGAAGACACTCAAGAAAAAAGACTCTTAAGAAAATATTCCCTCTAGTAGATTAATTAATTAGTAATTGCCGCAATTTTAAATAGTGTAGATATAAAATTGTAAATTGTCCCATCTTTCTTTTAATACAGTCCCCTTATTAGAGCTATCGTAGTAAAATATATACAGTCCACTCAATATCTATCTCTCTACACCGCTAATTCGACACCACCGTTTAAACAATCCATCACACCTACTAAAACAAAAAAGCTTTATGACAAATTATATATTATTATTATCGGAAAAGCCTAAATTTGCTCAACCTTTGTGAAAAAGTTGGTAATAACTGTATTTACGGGCTTTTAGCCAAGTAAATTACAGTGTGTGGTGTGTGTTTGTTGTAGATGTAGCGATTGTGGGACTTTAAACCTATTTCTTTTTCCTCCAACTGCAGGAACTTTCTCACTATCCTGCATTTAAAATTGCGGCTTTTTGTAGGGTACATACATAATGTGTTTTCGGTTAATTCTATAAGTTTTAGGTTATTGAACATATTATTTGGAACAACTCCTGTGGTTGAGATGACTATGGGCACTATATATACTTTTTCTTGCTTCCATATTTTTGCAATTTCTTCCTTTAACTCAGCATATTTACAAATTTTCTCAGCTATTGTTTTTTGAATGTTATGTGTATTGGGTACTGCAATATCTATTAAGTACGTGGTTTTGTTATTTTTATCTTGTAGAGTAATATCTGGTCTATTGTAATGAATGGTTTTGTCAGTAAATATAGCTCGGTCGTAGTAAAGTTTATGTGAGGCAATTTCAAGAAATGTTTGTGATGTGTATTTATAGTACGGGGTGTTTGTGTTTTGAATAAATTTATGTTTGAGTTCCAATTTTTGATGTATGATGTTTGCGAGCTGATTATGTCTGTGAGTGTAATCTATCGAATTTATCGTCTGTGTGAGGCTTGTACATGCTCCAGAGTGTTGTATTGTTTCCGGTTGGCTGTTGCACTTGCGGAATTAATCGTTTATGACTGTGGGATCTTTGATAATGTGTTTTCTATAGTTTTTTGTGTTAATTACCTGGTCCTGTATTGCTATTAAAAATCCTTCTGTTTCTGGGAACAGGCTACCTTTTTTAAGCCACATGATTGACGCTTTTGTGTCTATGTGGGGTTGGCTTATGTTGTGTGGGTGTCGCCCGTGTAGTACTTTTTTCTTCCAGTTTTCTATTTTCTTTTTCTGCGGATCTCTATTGTATGGTTTTTCTAGGCCTCTGTTCATCAATGTTTAGTAGTGTGTAGTGTTTATCGTTGTGAGTTATAGGTTTGTGTATTTTACTGGTTTGCGATTTGGTATGAAGAATGTTTTTAAGCTGTAGATCTGCTTCTGCCATAGGTGATGGATATCTATTAATCCTCTACCTCCATGTTGTCTCTTGACAGTGAGCCGTTCTATTGCAGACTTTGGGTGTAGGTTGTTGTGTTTTGTCACTGTGGTACGTGTCATTCGTTCTATATGTTCTATATCCGTTTGGCTCCATTTTATGATTCCAAATGAATATGTTAAATTAGGGATCGCCTAAGTGTTAAGAGCTTTTATTACGTTTTTTCCTGAGAGCTGGGTTTTACATATGGCGTTAATTCTCTTTTTATATTCTAGAGTTATTGTGTTTTTTATAGATGTATGGTCTAGTCCTTTCAGTTGTTGGAATCCTAAGCATTTGTATAAATCGGTTAGCTTCATTGCTGTTATTGTATCTATGTCATCAACTGCATAGTCATCAGGCTGGATCTTGCCCTTTATTAAATGAATCGTTCTACATTTATCCTAGATCCTTGCTAAAATCTGTGGTGATTTTTATTAGAGTTTTCATTTCTTTTTCTGTCCGTGCATATAGTTTAATATCGTCCATATATATATATAAGATGTGAAATTATTGATTCATTGCTATTGTGTTTAATACGGATCCAGCCCGTTTACTATGCAGCTGGTAAGATAGTGGATTCAGTGAGAAGCAGAACCACAGGGGACTCAAGCAGTTACCTTGATAGATACCTTTTTTGATGGCTATTTGTCTTGTTTTGATGCAGTTATTTCGGGTTCTTAGTTGCAGTGTAGTTTTTCAATATGTCATCATATTACGTACGTAAGCCTATTATTTCAGGGTTAATCTCGTATATTTCCAGTATTCTTATCGGCCAAGAATGTGGGATGCTGTCAAAAGCTTTTTTATAATCTATGTATGTATATTGTATATTTCTGTTTCTTGCAGTATGTAGGTCACTCAATAAGTTTTGAGATATACAAAAAGTATTCTAGATACTATTAATATTTATTTTACCTCTTTTCAAAATATTCTCCATCGTGCTCTATACAAAGTTCCATTCGCCTAAACCAACTCTGAAAACACTTTTGCCAGTCTTGATCTGACAAGTCGGAAATCGCTTCTTCGTAAGCAGCGACGGCTTCTTCGGCGCCTGAAAAAAAATTGTCTTTAATTTTTCTTCGACTCTTGGAAACAAAAAGAAATCACAAGGAGTTAAGTCAGGGCTGTAGGGTGGGTAACTTAGAGTTTCAACACGAGATTCCTCAATAAATGCTTTTGTTCTAAAGGAGGTATGTGAAGAGGAGTTATCGTGATGCAGCATGATTCCCCGAAGCCCGGTCTTTGGTCTTCTCTCCCGCATATTTTTTAATATTGAGCAATTGGCTTATGCAGTTCTATTTTTAAATAAATTTGCTTTTTAGAAACATATAACACGGGTGCGTTCCATTTTTAAATTTCGAGCATCTCAAAACTTATTGAGTGACCTACGTAGCGTGTTTTAGGATGGTTGAGTCTATAATGAGTTGCTCCTTACATCCCATGTGGCCCCGCCTGCACCTTTCCTACTCTTCGGCAAGTATGTTGTGTCGTTCTATATGTAGGTTAATTCTCCTCGCAATTGCTGCTGTCAAAATTTTGTAGATAGTTGGTAAGCTAGTGATTGGCCGATATTGGGCCGGTTGTGTGAAATAATTACCCCATGTATGTTATACCCATGAAGCTAATACAAAGGGGAGACGGCATAAGCAACTGTGCACTGTGATTCTAAGTAGGTCCTGACGTCATCATAGTGGGCGTGGCTTTAGTTAGTATACTTTCAGCATTCGTCCTGTGCACTTATGTGTTGAAAAAATCGCAAATCGGTGTATTTTCGTAGTATTAAGAAGAAAAGGATGAAGTGTTGTGTTTTATCGTGTAAAAACATCTCAGATAGACGCTCTGATGCTATGGATGGCATCACATTTCATTTGTAAATAATTTTACACCTAATTTATTAAAATAGTTCTAGAAAAATGTCTTTGCGTCGGCTTTCAAATATAATTAAATATATTCGACACTAGATGGCGACACTTTGTGTCATGTGAACTAAAAATATAAAGGTCCGTAGAGCTCAGTATTGGTAAAATAATCATACTAAGGTGCTGAAATTTGTTTTGCATTCAGACATAAAGAAATTTTAATCGCAAAATATTATTTTTATAGTTTATAACATTTTGTGGACATGCCGCCATCTACCGTCAAGGTAGCTAAGCTACATTGCAACATCGATATGGAAAGATTCGAGTAGTTTTACTATCTATCAGTAGATGTAGATAGTGTAAAGGACGGGGCTTTGCATCCTCTCACCCCGGAAATTGTCACGCGTTGTTACATACTGAAATTTAATTACAACGTCTCCTCTTTGTATTTGCTTCATGGTTATACCTGTAGCAATGAATTCGGGGATGTTCTGTTTCGCAAAAATGTGTTTTTGGCTATAGTCTTATGTAGACGTGTTAATTTTTTAAACCAGTAGTTATGCACTTTATCAATATCCGGAGATTTCCAGTTATGTAATCTTTGTGTAATATTTCGGATCTCATCTTCTGTTATCTGAGTAAACTCCATTTCTTCGATTTTACTCCATCTCTGTTCTTCTTCCGTAAGGCAGATGGCGTTCTCATTATGTGGTACCTATTGTTCCCATATACCTGACCAAAATTAATTAAATATTATTATTATTAATTATTATTATATTCATTATTTAAGAAGAAATAAAATAAATTATTGGCAATAAGTTTGTAATATAAGGTTATGGTAGGGTGTGGCCTTCTGGCACAAGTATTCTAAATATTTAAAAGGAGGTCTCAACTATAATACTGTATCAATTTACAATGTACTTATTACCCAATAAATGTTATTATTATTTATTATATTTCAAACACTCATTACGCTCTTTACAGGTGAAGTGATATCAACAAAGTTTGATGAAGTGAATGCAATTATCCTGGCCCATGACATACAAGTAGATAATCCAATTTCAGTGCTAAATCAGGATGATGCACGTAGCTTTCACGCCTCGGATGCAAAAAAGAAATACTCACTCTTCCGTAAGGCTACAAACCTCGATCAGACGGAAGCTAATTATGTTAGAGCACTCGAGAACTGCCACAAAGCTATTTCTATCTGGAATAGAAAAAATGACGTAAGTTTTTCTGTTCCTGCTCTTTGGACTCTGCTTACCTCCTCGAGGATTACAGGCGTGACGCTGCGTATGTATGTTATGAAAAACTTTTGTGCTAGACATGCACAAAACGTATCACTGAAATCGCTTAGTAAATGATATGTATCATTTAGTATATATAGTATAGTTATAATTCTACTGACAGAAGATGGCCGGGTGCTACGCTCCGCTTGGGATATATGATAATTTATAAAATTAAATCCAAAGCCAAACATACTACAAGACGTTGAGGTACATTTAGTTCGTTCTAATTAAAAAAGTAAAATTTGTTTTAGTCCATGTGTAATATTCGCGTAAATCTAAGAAATAAATTTTTCCATTTTCTGCCACAATCAAAGCCTAATATTGTTTGTGTGAAGTATTACTAGATCTCATATTACTAAGTCTCGTAAAATATGTCCAACAGAGAAATGATCAGGTAATTAACTATTGCTATAAATTACTGTATTTTTTATTTTTAACAAATTATATTTACAGGCTTGTGCAGAATTAGAAAAAGAATACAAGAAATGGAAGAAAAGCCACGAACAGCTTCAATCACGCGACGAGATCGAAGCGCTAAAGCAGTCGTTGCAAAATGAGTATTACTGGAGTGAAATAGCAGAGTTGGAGCGGGAGGTCGCCACTGTACAATCACAGTATGAAAAACAGAATGTCAAGTGTGAAAAGTTGATGGCGACCCTTAAAACTATGGAGGAACGGTTTGGAGGCGACAACAGTACGCTCGAGTGAGTTTATTTAATAAATAATGTACCAAGTGGTGGAATTAATGCTAAAAGAATATAATTACTAGAAGATATATATTACTAGAGATCCGGCCCGGCTTCGCACGTGTGATTTCTGGATCTGTACAAAAGCTCCACCTGTCGGGTCCAATTGTGAATTTAAGCCACCCAGGCTCCCACTCGAACACACAAAAAATTTCATCAGAATCGGTCAAGCCAGTTTCGAGTTTTAGTGAGACTAATGAACAGCAATTGATTTTTATATATAGAGACTAGCTGTTCCCCGCGACTTCGCTCGCGTGTTCGGGTTTTTATGTGTTTGCGCGGAACCCTAATTATTTTTCTAAAATAAAAGTAGCCTAAGTTACTCCTTATGAATTCAGCTATCTGCCAGTTAAAGTCTCGTCAAATTCGGTCCAGCCGTTTCGGAGATTAGCCGGAATAAACAGGCACAGACAGACAGACAAAAATTTTAAAAATTGTATTTTAGTTAAAGTACCGTAGTTACTTTCATATGAATTTAGTAAAAAACTGTAATTGTGATATTGCAAACAGACACTTGAATTTTATTGATTTGTATAGATGAGTTAGTCCTTAACTCAAAACTCATTTCTAACGACAGTAGAGTTGGATTAAATCAGTTAGGCCTCAGGTCCCTTTTTTACAAAATTTCTAAAAGTGCATTTTTCTTTGGGTCCGTTCATAATAATAATCTGTACTATTTATTCATGATCCCACCTATTTTTTAAATATGTTAATATTTAATGGCATAATATTATTTTAATTAAAGAATATTTTCAAACAAATCTACTTCCCCGCTATGAAATCTATAAATATTATACCTTATTTTTAAATAGCGCTGCCCTGGAGTCAAAAAAGTTGTCAATGGTCACAAATATGTTATGCATGAGCAGCAAAAGATATTATTTATCGAGAGCCTAATCTCACTTGTTGTTATCTGTGCTCATTTAAACTAACGTGTTTTAATTTGTAAATTTGCTTATTTGGATTTTAATTAGTACATTATGATGGAGAATGTCATTTAACAGAGCATTGAAAAGTCAGCTAGAAGAGAAGACTCTTCAAAAGTCGGCCCTAGAGCACGATTTGACAAAGGCGGAGGGCGAGGTGCGTAAGTTGCAAGTAACATGGCGAAGTGAGCAAAACGCTAGAAACAAACTGCAAGAGCTGCTGGCACGCGAGAAGAGGAAAGTTGCAGACTTGGAGCGCGAGATAGAGAACATTCAGTAAGAGTCTATGTATTTAATCTTTTTTTTTTCATATAATTAATAGAATCAGGCGTTACTTTGCGGAAATCCATTATATAAAAGCTTTTAGAAAAATTTACTTCGCAAATATCCGCGTTATAAAATAAAATGATATGTCTTACCTAGTATGAAGAGCACCTCCCGCCCTCCCTCAATTGCGTGCACTATCCCCGTCACCACTAGTAGCGGTGCTGGGATTAGTGGTGACGGGGATAGTGCACGCAATTGAGGGAGGGCGGGAGGTGCTCTTCATACTAGGTAAGACACATCAATTTATTTTATAACGCGGATATTTGCGAAGTAAATTTCTCTAAAATCTTTTTTTTCAGCTTGTTAACAGTTCCCTTGACATGGGCTTCTCGCATTGGTGATGATAGTATTTATATACTTCTCGCATCTTTAACGCAGTTTCTTGTTTTCCTACGGAAGGGGAGACATATCCCCCCTTTTAAGGAAGACTCATTCTCCTTAGCCGAAGGGGGTTAAGTCAAGAAGGCTATGTCCAGCTGTGGACAATTCAGGGGCCGATGATGATGACACAGAATGTGGTGGACTTAAGGCTACATCTAAAAGTATTTATGAATCATCTATCATCTTGAGCACCCCATTGTCGTCAGCGTTTACAGATCCCCACACTGGACCCCACTAATTTTAGATATATTTCTGTACTACCAACGCTCAGTAAAATTATTGAAAAAAATATTCTAGATCAAATGTTAAGTTTTTTTAATGTAAATAAATGATTCCTTAAAAATCAGTTTGGATTTACAAGGGGTCGCTCGATAACTGATGCCGGGTTTGAGCTAATCGAACATATTTTCTGTGCATGGGAGAATTCAGAAGATGCTTTGGGTATATTTTGTGATCTTTCCAAGGCATTCGACTGTGTCCACCATGAGACATTAATCAGGAAGCTACATCATTATGGTGTAAAAACATAGCGCTTAAACTTATTATGTCATATCGAAATAATAGAATGCAAACATTTGTTTTTAATGGGAGCAGTTCTCCCGGCTCGGTAGTATCTATGGGTGTTTCTCAGAGCTCAGTTCTTGGCCCCTTTCTGTTCTTAGTTTATATTAATGACTCACCTTACTTGGTAGGAAATAACCATGATATAGTATTATTTGCTGATGATACTTCATGTTTTATGTTGATTTTTCGTCTTAAGATACAATTATTGAAATATGACGAAGTCAATAATGCTGTATTAAAAGTAGTACACTAGTTTAACGTCAATAGTTTGCTTTTGAACGACAATAAAACGAAATGTATTAAATTCACCACACCTAATTTTAAACAGTTGAATACCAGTGTGCTTTTAAATGGTGAGGAGCTGGGCCTTGTTAAATCCATTGTTTTTCTCGGAATTACAGTAGACGCGAAGCTTCAATAGGGCCCAAATATATCTAAATTCTAAACTGGCTAGCAAACTTATTTCTGCAAAATATGCTGTAAAAAAGATAGTTATTTCCATAGAATAATTTCATATGGAATCTTGCTATGGGGTAATGTGACTGACATTGAAACTATCTTTGTTTCGCAAAAGAGAGCCATAAGAGCAATTTATATTCTAGATCCAAAGGTATCCCTCAGAATTTTTTTTTAAAGAAATGAATATATTAACTTTGGCCTCTCAATACAATTATATTTACAAGAAAATAATATTCACAAGAATTAAATGCATGTACACAAAAACAAAAATAGTTTTATTAAAAATAGTGATGTACATTCTGTAAATAATAGGAACAAGTACAAGTTAGTTATATCAGTTACTGGACTCCAAAGAGTCAGTAATTACTTCATGGGGCAATGTATACGATTTAACATCAAAGTCCCAGGAAATATGCAGACATTATCTATCAAAAGGTTTTAAATACTACCAAAGAGTACATGAGTGATATTATAACCCCTGGGAATGAGGTGATCGATACCATGCTATTTCTAAATGTTTTCATAACAATTGTATTAAATATTATATTGTAAATTGTGCTTTTAAAAAAAGTTCTGCTGGGTTTCTTGCTGGTTCTTCCCAGGACAGATTTTTTTTTGCGAACAAGTGGTAAAAGTAAAAATTACTTTCAATAAGTATTACTGTAATCTATATTGAATAAAAATTATTCTATTCTATTCTTAAATATTTTTTATGGTTTTTACTTAATTTACACAATTGGCCGTTGACGAAGGAAAAAGACGCCTCCGTGGTGCAGTGGCTTAGCAATGAGTTGCAGCGACAAGGGCTGCGGGGTCGAATTCTGTACGGAACAAGTATTTGTATGGCCTACAAATAATTGTTCTGGGTCTGGATGTTTGTCCTTGTCAAATTTATGTATGTAAACTGCACCCACGATACAGGAGATAATCCTAGTGTAGTAACCTACTAGTTTAAAAAAATATTGGCCTATTAAAAATACAGGAGCAACCTCAATAGAAAAATACATTTTTATTTTGTATTCTATTTACTAGGGTTTTCATTATTTTAATTATCTTTATAGGTTTTTTATTTCCTTTCCCCTTATTTATGTAATTAACGTATACTTTCTCGGACGCCAATCGGCGTTTTATACTTGGCCTCCAGTTGCGGTGAACGCCGATCGGGGTTATGTATAATTTTCCTTAAACTTAGTCAAAGCAAATATTAAAATATACTTTAAATTATGCAATACTAGCGATCCGCCCCGGCTTCGTACGGGTGATTTCGGGATCTCGACAACAGCGCTACCTAACGGGACCCATTCAAACATACACAAAAAAATTCATCAAAATTCTTTGCGTAGTTTAAAAGATCTAAGGGTACAGATGGCGGCAAGTTACGTTGTTTTATACGCCAATAGGTGTTTTCCAGAGTCTATCAAACACTATGGTTTAAATTAAAAATAAATATAGTTAAACACATTTTTTTAATTCGCTGATTAAAAATTAAATTGTATATTTATTAAAATCATTTCCTCCGGCCAACTCTAGGATTATTTCACCATCAACACCACATAAAATTCATTTACCACAAATATTGTCATCTGGTGCATCTGGACGTATTATACTGTAAAACATGACAGTACTAAAAGAAAGAAATGCCGGTATTGTCAAATGGATAAAAAATAATAGATATAATTTATTTCTGTCCAAATTGCTCAAGAAGGCCAAAATTTTTTAGAGGATTTCATAGATATTAACTAACAAAGTGTCTGAATCTGTTAATTTAATTTTTATTTGAAGGATCCTGAACCGTATTTGCTTAGTTGGTAGCTTGGGGTGCTTTTCTCTAAATATACTTTGAATGGAATGGGAGCTTTTCTGCAGGGCTCTATTCTTTCAGATGTAGACTTCTTCTTGACCATAGGTGTATTTGGGAAGTTAAATGAAACTATTGTTTAAGAAACAAGAGCTGCTTTGTGGAGTGTTGCTTGTAGGGCAGCGTGACGTGATAAGGGGATGACTGTGAGCGAGTAATGTCAGAGGTCAGCCGCAATGCGTCTTTTATTTTGTGCCTTTGGTGGCACAACTTATGTGGGCGTATGTGAGACACACATGCTTTATTCGACCATTGAGCGGATAGGAGGGGAGGAGTGCGGAGTGTGTGTTGAGTGTAATTAATCATTTATTTTTACAAACATACATTTGTCACTCAGTTTATAGAAAAAAAATATATATAGGCATACAGACAATAATTAATAAGTATACAACAAACACTATAAAGACATAGAACAATTCTTCAAATAAAATTTAATAAAATATTAATAAGCTTACGTAAAAGACAAAAAACAAAATTTAAATAACTACATAGATAATGTCTTAAATCTAAGCTGTTATTTACAGACAGAAGACAGAAAGACAGCAATTTTAAACATTTGTTAGTTACAGTGAAGAAGCACCATATCACATTAAAGTGAGTTATTAATTTATCTTTTTGTTGTTGTACTTTGATTTTAATTATCTACATTTTGTGAAAATCCATATTAATATAATATATGTATATTATATATAATATAATATATGTATAATATATGCCGTGTAGTGGCGGTTAAGAATATCCACTACCCCATATCTTCCCGTGGGTGTCGTAAAAGGCGACAAAGGGAAACAGGCAGGAGATGGGCAGCAGCATCTTCCTGATAATAGCCAAAATAACAATAAAAAAAACTGCGGTTGATAACCCGCTCGCCAAGCGTGGCAACTATGGCAATATACCCCCCATGAGCAATGACAATAATAAACGGCCCCCAGTCCCCGGCGGCCCCGCTATTCCTGGCTACGGTGGTGACCATGGTAACGGCGGGGCAGGGGGTGCTAAGAATCTCCGGTGGAGGTTCGGTTGCCACCTACGACGACTCGACCTGGCAACATACAACGCACGCACCCTGAGGACTGACGAGAAGATTGTGGAGCTGGAAGAAGAGATAGACAAGTTACGCTGGCATATTATAGGATTATCCGAAGTCCGAAGAGAGGGGGAGGACACGGTAATCCTCGAATCCGGCAACTTGCTCTATCACCGGGAGGGCGACCATCTGTCCCAAGGAGGTGTCGGATTTATCGTCCACAAGTCTCTCGTTAACAACGTTGTAAAGATTGAGAGTGTGTCGACGAGGGTTGCGTACCTTATACTCAGAATCACCAAACGGTATTCGCTGAAGGTCATACAGGTTTACGCACCAACCTCGGCACACCCCGATCAGGAGGTGGAGGAAATGTATGAGGATATCTCTAGAGCCATGCATTCCTCCAAAACCCAATATACGGTGTTAATGGGAGACTTCAATGCAAAACTAGGCACAAGAGAGAACGGTGAGCTGAAAGTAGGGAAATTTGGAATAGGGCAACGGAACCCAAGGGGCCAGCAGCTGGCCGACTTCATGGAGAAAGAGGGACTCTTTATGATGAACTCTTTCTTCCAGAAGCGGCCCCACAGGAAGTGGACCTGGTCGAGCCCCGACGGTTCGACAAAAAATGAGATTGACTTCATTATGACGACCAGACGA